CAACACGATGCTGATCGATTGTATACTGAGGCACTGCTTTCTTGTATCATTTCGATTAGACTATTGATCATTTCAGATGAACTTATTATTTTGCTTTTCTTTGTTAACAGCTACTAGAACAAGATATTATCAAGAGTACTGAATGTCACTTAATCTTTCATTGGATTCAAAGTTTATGTCGTGATCAACCGATCACAGAAGACACCCGTCAAACTCGACTGCTTCTGAGTGTCAATGATCAAACCTATAGACACATCTACTTTCAAACGGAGGACATTCAATCTGTTCTTATGTAAGTTGTCGACAACAGTAATCTAAGGAACTTACTGCATGAATCAGTATAATTGACAAACATGTTTCTTTCTACTCTAGCAAAAGTATATAAATCTCTCTGAGAAAACAGAACAAAAATTCTTCAGTATACGGAATATCCCAGTGAAAAATATTTACTGATTTTAATCGGATTTTTGTGAAACAAAATCAAAATTAAAATCGATTGATAATTTTGATTATTATTGATCATGACTTAACTATTACGTGATATTGTTACTTATGTAGTGTGAAATTTTCTGATTGAAATTGGATTATTTTGCAGGAAAATCAAGATTATAAATCGATTGCTAATTTCGATTTTCCTGCAAATAATTCGATTTCAATCGGAAAATTTCGCATTGCATAAGTAACAATATCAAGTAATAGTTAAGTCATGATCAATAATAATCCAAATTATCAATCGATTTTAATTTTGATTTTGTTTCACAAAAATTCGATTAAAATCAGTAAATATTTTTCACTGGGATGAATGAAAGTATCTAGTATTGAGGAAAAGATTGAGGTAGGTTATTTCAATGAATTAAACATTTATTTTTTTAGCTTTCCGAATACACAAGCAACTCGGCTTTTTCTTCATTGCGGTGGTCGATGGATCGATTTGGACGTTGTAGATAGAGTTCGTGGTGACACAGCTTTACATAGTATTGCTAGAAGTAATATTGATGTGATTGCTACAACGATTATCAAGCTTCTAATCGATGCCGGAGCTCATGTTGATTCTATAAATAACTATGATGAAACACCAGTTGATGTAGCTGTGATAACTTCACTTCATGCTTTGCTGCAATCAAAACAGAGACCGCCAAAACTCAAATGTTTTTGCGCACGTATCATCGTTGATTCACAACTCAATTATGACTTTGTGTGGCCTGCTGACACAGGCTTGAATCGATTTATTGTTTTACATGGAGATCTATCAAGAAAAAATGATATTGTCGATGCCTACACTCTAGGAGAGTATTTCGACGATTCTATCTATTATTAGTTGAACGACTTTTTGTTTTCATTTGTTATGTTGCAACTGAGTAAAATAGTATATTGATCAAAAGATATCTCGTGCCTTATTGCAATTTTACTTCATTATTAAGGTGTGATATGAGTTGTCATTGAGACCATTTGCTATTTTTTAAGAACAGAATCGTCATTATTCTATTTTCATCAAGAAAAATGCGATGATCATTGATCACCGAATTTATTGATTTGTTTTGAGGTGAATGGCACACCTGTACGTATGATTGAGTGATATTCGGTCTGTAGCCAGCATATTTCGAGAATCGTAAACATTCATTTCAGAATTTGGTCGACGTCCTCTTAACGAAATAATCTCCAAACCGATGTCACTCAGCAGTGTTCATCAAATTGCATTAGGCAGTTTTATCTTGGTGGGTATGAATGTTACTCTACCACTCAATAACACACCCTACATCCTCATTCTTCAATAAAAAGCTCATTAATTACGATCAAGCAAAAAAGTGGCGTCTATATTTATTTAGAATAGAAGAACAATGAAAAAGAACGAATTAGACGACAATTATAAGAACAGACGAAAAAAGAAGTATTGAAAAATAGATGAAAACAAGAACAACTTGAATTGATTACAAAAACAACAATACTTCATAGTGACACACATGTTGAATATTAACTCTAATCGAGAATGTCAACAGTTATTTGATTTCATTTCGATGAATAGGCTAAATAATAGTTAGTCCGTATAACTGCGCATTGTTGACTGGTTGTTATGTTACGTTTAGCACGCATAGTTGACTTAGGTGATAAGCAATACTACCTAATGTTTGTCAAAGTGGTATATCGGTTAATATTTCATCATTTCTACTTGCTGTGTTTCCTCTAAAAGAACCAAAAAACTGCATAATGATGAGCGCTAGTTCTTCATAATTTAGTTTACCGTTTCGTTTATTTGTCAATCAAGTGCGAACGCATATATTTATCATGAACTCTTTAACAGTTTTACGAAATTTTGAGCCAGTTAGTAAATAAATGAAAAATCCAAATGTATTTTTGAGAAATGTACATGCAGAGCCAAAGGCCAGTAATATGTTAGTCTGTCCTATGGCTCTACATGTAAGAGGTGGATTATAATTAATGTAAATTTGAAAAAATAATGTTGGAAATATTGTTAGAGGAAATAACACATCCAAAAGCATTAAAGTCAACGTAATAGATTGCATTTGATCAATTTGGTATATTGTGTGTGGAGAATAGCCAGCCGATACCATTGATTCAGCTGATGATGAACGACTTTTTTTTCTTATCATTACCAAAAACACCATCTCTTGTTTCGTAAAGGTTTTTTACAATAGTGATACAACATATAGTCATAATCAGACATGGTACAATACCAAAGATGAAACCGTTGTAGATTGGCCAGATCGTTTTCCAAAAGTAACGATAGGATGTACTTATTGTTTTACAGTGACATAACCGTCCATCTGTTAAACAAAATTCTTTTGATGGGACTTTCGTAATTATTGGTCGATTATAGAATAATAAAAAATGTAAATTAAGAATGCATGATATTATAGCAATGAGACAACAAATGATCAAAGCTGTTCTTAATTGACAAAATGATCGCTTATATTTAGACTCTTTTAGAAAAAGAGCTCGATCAATGTTAATAAACACTAGAAGCCACGCGAAAATATATCGAAAGAAATAAGTAAAAAAAAAACTGAAACGACATAAATATGGTAATAGTTTCTCAACAAGATAGGTACTATCGAGATAATACGGAAGTAAATTGTGAATTGGGACATCAATTAGCAAAATGAATATATTGATAATGCACAATAGACTCAAATAACAATAGACAGAAAAATCTTTGATCCATCGTTTGAAAACAAAAAATGATATCAAATTTGTAGGTATACCAATGATGAGAAACAATACTGACCATATACGATAAACATTGTGTGCAACTTCTGTCAGTTCATTGTAATAATTAAAATCTTTGTCAGTAGTATTGGCCATTGTTACATACGTTATTTTAAATTCATTCATATAAATGATAACTTTCTCAGTATGTATTTTATTTTATTGCTATTAATATAACAATCAAAGTTATGAAGTCAATATCGAATGACTTGTTTATGATCATGCGAAGAAATAAAGTCAATACACATTTAAATCTAATATTGATTCCAGTAATTTATAGCTATTTAAAAAAATGTCAGGTGTCTGTCGTTATCCCCAACACATATATCATACACATCCAATAATTCATTATGAACTTTTAATAACCTGGTAATTCAGGACAGTAGATCTGAGCAATGAATAAACCAAATTAATTTTCATCGACTGATAGAGCAGGCGAATCTACCGACTCATCACTAGTATGCATGCGATATGGATATCTACTGATAATCTCTGTTGTCCGAGCAAACATGCTGAAAGTGGTATGAAGCGAGCGAAAAATCATCATAAACAGTATCATGATTGTTCTGTTGATATAATAGAAGCATCTATCGCTTCCAACTGTGTTTTTCTTGACTTTCTTGAACCATGTGCGGTAGCTCTTATGCATTCCTACATGAATATATTAGTCGTTCATAGCCATCAATTAGCAATACAAGAACAAATCACTCATCATTCATTGGATATGATCACTAATATCGGTGATTTTTACCATTTTTGCGCTGCTACAGGT